GAAAATCCATAATATGTACAATGCGAAATATAAATCATAAACGGTGATATTGAAAACAAATCAAAAGAAATCTAAATAACTAATTGAAATACATAAATATTAGATGAATATGTAAACAAACTTGCATAAAAATTGAAAAAATTGACGGAAAATCCGTAATATGTACAATGCGAAATATAAACCATAAACGGTGATATTGAAAATAAATCAAAATAAATCAAAATAACTAGTCGAAATGGATAATGGAAATTACCTTGCCAACCGAGAAATCTGTTTGAATTAATAAAGAGATTTCGTTTAACAATAAAGAAAATTTCTTGATGAACAACAATTTAGCACCTTGAAGAAAGATAAACTTGAAACGTGAAAGGTGGGAAAGAAACGTGAAAGTTGGGGAAGAAACGCGAATGGTGATGAAAAAAGGTTAATGGTATTGGTTTAATTTTTTTTTCACTTTAAACGGTTATTGGTATATAATTTGGTCCAATATAGGACTCTTTCCATAAATAAAATTAATTTAAAATACTAAAATCTGAATACATATTATTTTATCAAAATATTGTCATTCTGCCATTTTAAATAAATATTTTAAAGTGTTGTTATTTTGACTAATTATGTTAGTTATTATGACTTAATTGCTAATTTTCCCTATTAAAAATACACTCCTTTTTTTCTTTAATTTGACCCTCAAAAGCTTTTTTTTTTAAAAGATCAGTCAAATACAATTTGCTTATCAAAAACACATTTCAATGATTTAGTCAAACACAAATTATTATTTTTTTCAAAATCACTTTTCTGAAAAGCTATTTAAAAAAAGTGCTTGCAGTTTAGTAAAAATGTCAAAGTCTCTAAAAGTCCTACTCCTAACATTTAAAACTTTAAATTTTATTAACTTATAACAATTCTTTTCTTTATTAAATCAACTAATTAGGAGGCCTTATATTTTCATTTTTGTCCCTTTATTAATGAAACTTGTGTGCAAAGTGTTTTCCATGAAAAATCTTATAAGAGTATTATCTTCTCCTATAAAGATGGATCAATTTTACATCCCTTTCATTCTTTGAATCTGATCCCTTTCTCTTCTAGTTTTGGTGCATTTCAGGTAACAAATATTGTTCACTATATTCCTTTTTTTGAGCTACTCATTAGGATTAAGTTATACCTAATTAATGTATCTTCTTCTTCTTCTTCTTTGTTTATGGTTTGTGGAATTCTTAGTTAGAAATCTTTGGAAGCCAACGCTCCAAAGGCATAGTTCTTGATTACTAAGAAAACTAGTATAATTTTCTTAGTAATAATGTTTTAAGACGAGGAAACGCACAAGAAGGATTTCTTTTGTTGTCCCCTGAAGTGAATAGTAACAAACTAAAATTTCTGCAAGTCAGCCCAGAGGCAAAGCAATATCACACTACAGATAGGCGATATCACATTAATCACCATATTCCATTCTCACCTTGACCCTACCTGAAATGCTATGTATCTCATACACACAACAAGTACAAATAAATGAGGAAACACATTAATTAGGCAACTCAATATTTGAACAACTAATGTTCACCACAAGGTTTCAAACATAAACTTATTCAGAGGGTTTTTTCCTCCATTCGTTATGACACCATTACAAGATAAATGAGAATTACATAAATTAACCAACATAACAAACCAACCTCCCTAGCAAACTGGCTTCCACAATGGCACTTCACAACTGATTACTCTAACTCATCTAGAGCCATTGAAATCTAAAATTCAAGTTACCAAGACTGAATCTATACAGGTACGGCCTTATCTTCTCTAATAGAGTTAAAAGGACAAACAGCAGCAGCTATTCTCTCGCGAAGGTTGAATTTGCTTGAAATAATTGGTCTAACATCTTCCACTCCAACTAAGCTTTCCAGAAATGGGAGCAGTGACAGTAACTCTTTGTCATAACGGTCATCAAACCAGCTCTCAATTGGAATACCATTGTCCACCTGGAATCCAAATGCCTGCAAATAAAACTCTCTACACATCAGGGTAGCAAAGTGGAGAATTGACATTCTAAACAGGAGTAAATTGCCCACAAAAGCACATACAAGTGCTCAAGTAGTTGTAAATTATTAACACATTACCAGATAAGATGACGCTCAACAAAAGTAATCCAATAGGAAGGCGATACATAAACTTTCATCAACTTTTATTTTTAAATGGTAAGATTTAAGCTTTCAGCAATACTACTTAGCAAGATTATCAGTTCAATCATTTCAAGAAACAGGGGAAGAAACCAACTATAAACATGTTTCTTTCCAGCTTTTATGAACATAAAAGTTTAATAGCTCTTGTAATGGCTCATGGTGCAGGTTGCTTGAGAAAAAAGAAGCAAAGGACCAGAACTTAATGTGTGAAAGAAATAAAGATGGAAAAGACCAGGTAGAGCATGGATCAATCTTATTAAAGGAACATTATTTAGCAAAGAGGGATTCTGACACAGCACCTGAGGAGAGTTGTCGATGATAATCACATGTGCTAAATCACGGCCAAGAACTGACAGATCTTTAAGGTAATTGCCATCAACAAATATACAAGACTCACGGTAAACACGATGCCTAAATACTTTTCTCTTTGGATCAAGCACATTCAAAAGCTGCTCAGCATAAATGCTCTGGCTTGCAGTAAATATGATAATCTCAAATAGGCTGGATACTCTATCCATAAAATCTCGGAGATGAGGACGGCATCGAACATATACGGTATGATCTTTCAGATTGAAATTCACTGAGAATGTGAAATCTGCATCATCACAAGGTTCAAGTGTAGAGTGCACCAAAGTCTCTGTCAAATACAAAAGATTAGACTCAGCTTAACATGCCCAATAAGAAATGATGAGCACATGCTACCATTTAACTAGGAAAGCTGAGTAGATGTTTGAAAAGGAAAACAACAAGCATTGACTATAGCACCCATGTTGGATGTACAAACATAAGAGCACAATTCAATAGGCATCACATATTCACTTGGGCATGCGGCAATTTGCATGTGTATGTCCAACACAATTTCCTAAAGGAGGAAATGGCATCATCTTCCAGTCTTGGTTTTTTTTGTAGTTATCGGAGTAGACTCCACAATGTAAATGGTAAGCCTATACAGGACAGATAGCCTTGGTAGGAGATTAGGAATATCTTCTCTTTCTTTTAAATTTAATCAGAGGAGAGAAGGAATATCTATCATAGAGAATCCCCATCACTGAGAAATGCAGTATGACGGTCAACTAAGCTCAAGGGAGAAAGAAGTAACACAACAGTTATAAAGATAATCACTATATAGAACATATTCGGCAAAACTGATACATATATGAACTGTATATCCATCCGCAACCAAATATCTTTTCTTTTTTGGACATATTCTAGCCAGTTTGGCGTACTCAGCTATTCCACTAGGTAACTCAAGCTTAGGTAGATGGGAAGAGATCACCTTGTGTTCTTTTTTTCCCCTGTTGGGATTTGTACCACAACTAATATCTTGTTTTGGCTCAAAAAATTTTTAAGAGGAGTTGATTATACTGATTGAGGAATGCCTATGGACCACAATTACTTGAGGAGAAAAGGACACCACTTTCCAGAGAAGAAAAAAGAAAACCATTTTACTTTTGGGATATGTACTAAAAGTCTAAAACTTATCATTTTCCCTTGTTGAAACTGAACATTACTGGAACAGACCACAAAAGAAGGAAACAATTAGTTTAGGCTTGAGAATATAGACTGCAATACCATCCAAGTCCAAAACAAGAGTGGTTGATGGGCAACTCCGTGTCTGTTTAGGCAACAACACAGGCCGAAATGTTGGAACAACTGAGGACAAGTCTGGTAAATTCTTAATGAAAAAATATGGATCGAAGTCATCAAACTCTTCAGTTTCCTCTTCCTCCATATTAACATCAGCAGGCAACTGAACTTGATTAAATTCATCAATGCATTCCAGTTTTGAATCTTTGATAGAGAGATGCACAGCTGAAACTTCAGATGACATATGCTGGTCCCCTAAATCTGTAAAAAAGCCAAATGCACATAATTGGCAATTGGAAAAAGCATCAAAGTCATATTCAATTTTGACTAATCATGACTATGTCTGATATTACCAGCAGCATTTGTACTATCACATAAAAACCTACCTGTAGCCTCGTCTAGCACAAAATGACTTGTCAGCAAATCAACCTCTATATTTTCTTTTCCAGGCTCCTGCAATGGCTGGTCTGCTTGCTGGAAGAATTTGAGGAAGTCTGCTGAGGAAAGAATATGATAGGATTTTGAAAGATGAACAATTAGTCAGAATGTTAATTCAGAAACCTTCTCAACAGTTAATTGCCAAAGCATCTACCTACCACAGTTAGAAATTTCCCCTCCAACACTTCTGGATATATGGAAGGTGGGAGAAAATATTGTATCACTTCTGCAACTATCACTTTCACCATCATAGTCCTACATTAAGAAAAATAATTAGATAATACATAACAACAACCATTCTATTGCAATTCTCACTTTAAAGCATCTACATTTAACAGGGTGAGCTAAGACTCCCAAACAATACCACATAAAGCAAATGTAAATCATCACCTTATTAATAGTAATGGTATTATAATCATGAACAACATCATGAGCGTCTGAAGCAGCAGAAGTAGCATCAGCCACCAACCCAAACCTTATATCCAAATCTGTACTGACGACATGATTCTCAATCTTTTTGGAAAAATTGCTTCCTATAAACACAAATATAGCAAATGAGAGGTGAGTTGCCCCAGATAAACAAATGTGCCAGGACTATATGAATATAAACAAGGAGTAGAGTCAACACCAAAGAAGTTAATTAACTGGGAAAACATTATGCATTGACTAGGACCATGGAAGGTTAATTCCTGCACCATATTTCAGTGATTGTTTCCAAGGAGTAACGGAAGCATGCAGAGGGATACAAAAGGTGGTGAAAGCATATGGAAAATCACTTCAAATTGTACCATTTTTAGAATTTATTTCTTGTTAGATGGTTTTCCAGGAGAGAACAGTCACTTCTCTATGTGGAAACAACTGAGATCAAAGAATAATATAGGGAAAACAACAAAAGAAAGCAGGAAGCAATTACGGATATAAATACAGAAAAATTCTAATTAAATCATTTCCGCATCTCAAACACTTTGAATCGGAAGCTTTCTGACTTGGTAATACATGCAAAAAGAAGCATAGACAGATTCTGATGAAGCTTGAATAACAGAAACAGCAACAAAACCTACTTAACTATTCGGAATATGCCCCAAATTTCACGTCAAGTGGGCATCTTAAGCTAAAGATTAAATAAATCAAATTACTTGGTCATCATAGGATGAATTCCATATAATACTTACCTGATTTTTGCTTCCTTACTGAAGATGTTATAAGTTCCTTAACTTGCTTTGCCTCAGTTTGCACTTTCTCGGACATTTTTCGCTGCTGCCTTGAAACCTTTGGACTAGCCAGCTCTCGTGGATTTCTCCCATTCAATTTTTTCTTAGTCTGCATATCTAACTACAGCAGAGTCCACTCTACAGATGCTTTATCCTGCTTAAAGAATTGTGACAGAGAAGAATTGAATCACTCCTTGTTCAAGGACACATAGTCTCCTGGAAAGAATTGCAGTTAAGAAATAGATATAGACAGTGTGTTACAAGTTTTAGCGAAGTAAATACAGAATGACCATGAAATCTCTCTGAATAATTGTATAAAGCCACAGAAGTCTCTCTGCATGTACAACTGATAATTCATTGCATATAATGATGACTTGAAAACAGGTTGCATCATTTAGCAACATTTTCTGCAGACAAACCACTGTTACCATGTATAGCAGATATTAATACTTTCAACTCATTGTAGCTTAAAAGGATGGTGCTTTATACATATGCACAAGTTAGACAACATGCTCAAAGATGGACAGAAAGCAAGTATCAAACAACACATCAATCAACATACCCATAAATTAAACAGGAAAAAAAAATCTAAGCTGAAGGTAAAATCCAACAATTCATGAGTTAAGACTCGGCGAGGTAATAAGACTTTTACAGTCTTTCTCACAAGAGCTTTAAAAATTCAAATACCAATTGTCAAACTCTAAAAGCATTGGTTAAGAGGATTACTCCTTTTCTTTAGAGGGGTCAACAAGTAGCTGTAGTGTATGTGCACAGTACTATGTCATTCTATGCATGAAGATATATTGCATTAGTTAATAGGTAGCAATGTGGCCCCAAAGCTTTGGTCTAGTGATAAGAGCACAATGCATGATGTGTGAGTTAGGCACGCATCACAAGTTTGAACCTTGCCGAAGACAAAAAGCCTAGTATTTACGTAGACAAGGTAAAGGGGTGGCCCATTATCCATCAACTTTCAAACCATGTCACTGTCCTTGGGGATTTCTCAGTTGTCAAAAAAAAGTTAATAGGGAAGAATTCTTAAAATTAAAGGTCGCAAACAAATGCAACTGAATGCAGCACCATAGAAAAATAACATGTGTTTTGAATCTCTCTAAAGAAACTTAGCTTTACCTATCCAGAATAAAAATAAGGAAACTAAACCTCAAAAAGGAAATTTTCAAGTATAGACACTTGATAAGAGTTGAACAATACTAATTCCTAGAGCATCATTCCCTTTATTAGAGGTTTTGACCCAACCAAGCAAACAAGACATCTAAATGGGTGAAGGGCTAGAGTTTCAGGGCACCTTCCAGCAGAAATAAAAACCTTGGAGATTAAATGAATTTCACGTTTTAAAATTACTTTTATCATGCATTGACAAATAAGGAAGATCATGAAATCAATTTTTTTACACATATTCTGATAAGTCCCGGATGACTAAAAAAGGTTTATGAATTTCAACTTCCTCGAGCAATAAACTATATTTTGAATAAGTAATCAATTAACTAGTTACCCCAAACATAGAATATGCTGATCTGAAGATCTTTCAAAAGATGTTTGCTAATTTTTTTATTTTGGGAAACTGTGTCTGTTACAATCTGTACAAACCTGCTCTTGGAGATGCTAATGCTATTATGTTTATCATTCACTTGAATCTCCATATATTGCACAACAACTAGTGTCATAGGTCATCCCTGAAACTTTTATACGCCATTTGCAAGCCAAGTCTATTGGAAAAGACTATGGTTTCCTGGATGCTTATTGAAATATAACCAAAGAAGAGTATTCAAAGTCTGGGAAAAAGAAAGACATGTGTATAGACTAAATGCATCAATAGTTGAGTGAATCAGATTTGTAGGTACTCCATAGGTAGCATTTCAATCTTTAATTTCTCAAGATTGAAGAAAAGCAGAAGATTTACAGACTCGACCCCCAGAAAATTAACTAGTTAAATGATTCTAACTTTGTAAGTAAATGTCATTCAAAACCCTAAAAAGCAAATAAGCAAAAAGGAGAGTTGAATTAAGCTATAAAAGGAGCTTAAACATCCACATACCTAGAGTATAAACTTCAAAATGAGCACAGATAAAGCAATAAATCAGTTCCTGCGAGTAAGGAGCTCAAATATTGAAGAAGCGAGTGAAGCATGAAAACGAAAAATTAGGGTTTTTACCAGCGACACAATCTGAAAAAGAAGAAGATGTTCAAATTAATGTTTGAACGAAAAATATTTCCCTCCAAAGATTGAAAAAGGAAAAAAAGAGGGGGAAAAAGAGAAGAGTACCCACCAGGAATCAAAAATCAAAATTTTTAGTACTACTACGAACTATATTTTTTGTCCAGAAAAAAGAGGGTGTTCAACATATATATTTATTTATTTTCAGTTACACTATTATTAATAATAATCTACTTTGTCTTTTCTTCTTTCTCTTCAACATGCACTACGGGGCTTTTAGGTTCTCCATTGGGGCAAAGTTAACATATGTATTCATTTTGGTGTGCAAATAGGATATGTATTAATTTTAAATAATATTCAATTGGTAAGGTTTTAAATGTTGTGTAAAATTATTCATTTGTTAATTTTATATGGTGTTTGATTGTATTTTTTGTAATCCTACGTAATTAATACTTATATAACTTATGAGAGAATCTACTACTCCCTCTGTCCCAATTTATATGACTCACTTTCCTTTTTAGTCAGTCTAAAAAAGAATGACACATTTCTATATAAAGTAACAATCTAACTATAAAATATCTATTTTACCCTTAATGAAATGATTTACAGCCACACAAATTTCTATCATTCATTTTGGACCACAAGTTTTAAAAATCTTCCTTTCTTTCTTAAACTCCGTGCCGAGTTAAAGTACCTCATATAAAATGGGACGGAGGGAGTATAATTTATGTGTGGACAAAAGGTGAAATAAGTTATGTGGATATTAATTATACATGTATTAAAATAGTAAAGAGAAAAGACATAAAGTGACATTTGAAGTTGTTTCGATTTTTCAAAGACACCTAAAGTTTGCAGGGGTCCATAGAACCATTTCAAATAACAATAAATAAACACTTTTAACTCGTCTTCACAATAGTTGCGTTCTCACGCTTGATAGACCTCAACTTATCCGAGGAAAATGACTCCGCCGCATCAGCCTCTCCCCCGTCGTCCTCTTTTTTCAGAGGACTTTCGAACATGTCCCCTGCACCGGACCTTGGGGAGGAAGTGCAGTAAAATACACACCCACACCAGTGTAAGAAAACATATAACATTGCCAATTTGAATTTTTAAAATTTTAATATTTATTTAATTAGAAATTCTATTTTCTTTAATTTACTCAATTTATTTTGTTGTATTTTCAATTCTTCCTTATTCTTCATCTTCATAGACCCAAAATTTCCAGACCATTAGCTAAGCCACAATACTTTCACCAGCAAGGAGAAATTGAATTTCAAGCCGAGTTATTCGAGGTAAAGGAGAACGAAAATTATGTCAAAAATAGAGTCATCGACAAAATTTTGAGAAAAATCTAAGATACATAAGGTTGTGACATTCAAAAATAAGTAGTAGAGTAGAGTTAATAAGATTATTGAAAAGAAAAAAAAGATGAAAGTGAAATAAGATGACAAAAAAATCAGAAAGATCTCGGTGAGAGAAGCGTCGGAAAGATTGAAGGCGACGTCGAAGACAAAATTGTTGGTGTTGTTTCAGGTGATCCTTGATCAGTTACGAGGTGGAATCATGTCCAGACCAAGTAAGAATTACCCATCTAAATTCGGAGAGAGTTTTCGTCGTTGCAAAAATAATTTTTCTTGATTTAGAGCAAAAATAAAATGAAAAGTACACAAAATTAAGATTTTGATAGAGATTTTAATTTGGTAGGATTTGATTTTTCAATTTTATTTTTATTTGGTGGTGATTTGATGTTAGACACAGTGAAATTAGTGTTAATGTTATGGTGGTGATGGTGATCATGCCACAGAATTGTCAACAAAGAGGGACAAATGGTTGGGGTTAAGATGAATTGAAGAAAAAAGAGAGGAAAATAAAGAAATAAATCAAAGAAGATACAAAAAAATTAAAATTAAAATTAAAATAAATATTATAATATTATTATTGGGGGGGGGGGGGGGTGGGG